TCGGTTCTCGGTTCTAGACCAAGAACCGAAGAACCGAATAAGAACCGAATCTTTCTAATTTTTTTTATATTGAGTAAATCAAATTATTTTAATTTTAATTTTTTCTAAACAAATTAACAAATTAATGATCAAATTTTTGGTCCAATAATTTGTTTCATTTCTAATTTTTTAATTTTTGGCCCAATTACCCATTTTATTGTTTCATTTCTTAGCCAAACAAGATCAAATCCACTAAATAACCCTAAACACCTACAATAAAGTGCATAACGTTGTCTCGACTCTCGCACTCACTCTTGCAGCCTATCTAATATTCCAAAATCTATACAATCATCGGCCCACACTCTGACCTCCGATCGAAGCCGTGACTTTCCCCGACTGAAGCTTTGATCGTAACGATCATTTGAACAATGTAGTTTACTAATCTCTGACATTCCAAAACTATTGAATGTATCATTAGTCGAAAGAAATAAATAGTTTATTGAAATGTATAAAAAAAAAATTACTTTTTGAAATTTAAAGATGCAATCTATTATAACCAATGAGCAATAATCTCTTAAAAACTGATGACATGACACACCTATTATCATTGTAGATAACATAAATTAAATGATCAATCAATTAATTTGTGTATCATGTCACTAGCTAATTATCGATGCTCAGGAGATCATTTTTCTATAACCAATTTATTGATTAAAAATATAATAATATTATCTAGTATCATTGATGTTAGGCCCTGTTTGATATCCCTTGAATTCCATGAAAATTCCAACTTTTTTGGTGTTTGATTGCATTTTTTTATCCACGGAATTCATTTTTCATCTTCACGTGCCATTTCCTTATTTTGGTGGTGAGAATTGATTTTTCACCTATTCTTTTTTTGGTTTTTGTTTTTTTATTTTGACAATGGAAACAAATTCTAAGAATAATTGTAAAAGAGGATATCCCTTAAATTTACAATTTTCATGTAAAACAAAGTCAAACAAACACCAAAATATGGATGATTTTTTTGAATCTTTTTTTTTTTTTTTAACAATAGAAACAAATTCTAGGAATGTAGAAGTAAATATCATTTAAATTGACAATTTTCATGAAAAACAAAGTCAAACGAGTACTAAAAGATATTTTTATTTTAATATTTTTTAGGTAAAAAATTATATTAATAAAAAATTATTAATTGACAATTCCCACTAAAACAAATTCTAGGCAATTCAATTCCCTTCAATTCATTTTTTTCACTCAAATTCTATCTTTACAATCAAATGGACCCTTAAAGTATTACTCTAGATGTCAACACTTAATTGGTGCAATGAAATGAAGTATGCGATTAAGCAAGGGGCCACATCTTAGGCTTCCGCTCTCTGAATCTTGGAGAGGATGGCAAATGATGAAGAAAGCAAAACTTGAATAATTGGAAAGTTATCTAAGTTTAGCTAAAGTCAATACGGCAAAGCATGCAATGCCAAATTTGAAACTACAAGAAAATGACCCTTCCAAGTCTATAAATGTGTCGTCATTTCCTTTAAAAATCCTCCCAACCCTTATTAACAAGCTAAACTCTCTAAGACAGAGTAAATTATTTGCCCACGGTATGCAAATATATATTATCTTGTATTGGTGAATTTTCGAAATCAAAGGAATTGAAATGTAACGATTTATTTATTTATTCATTTATTTTTTATTAAAAGATCTTTCCCACCCCTGCATCTCCCTTGATGCTTGAGGGCCTCTCGAGCAATGAGGAGATGCAAGGTAGGAAGGTGGGAAAACAAAAATGAAAAACTAAAATTTTTGCAAAAGGGAAGCAATATAATTTTAGTCCGTATTTGGTGTAGATTAAAACAAAATTTTCAGTAAATTTTGATATAATAATAATAATAATAATAATAATAATAATAATAATAATAATAATAATAATAATAATAATGAAATATATAATTAAAAAGTAATGAATTTCATATAATATGTGGTTAGAATTAACGGTTGTACTACATATACATCACAATTTGCAGATTTGTTTACTATGATTTAGCGAGATTTGATTGAGTCAAAATCTCACAAACCAAATAAAAAAAAATTTCCACTTTCTTTTTGCCACATTATCAATTTTTAAAATAATATGTAAATTGTGATGTGCAACAAACATTTTTCTAAAACTAATTATTAATTTTGATTTAAATTAAATTTTAATATACATCAATTAGTGACTTAAATATGAAATTATGCATAGGATATCATTAAAAGCAAAGTTATTCTACATAAAATTAATGAGAATGTTATTTTTCATTTTTTTTTTCCCCTTAAAAAATTAGTCCTCGATTTAAGATACTAGATTCCTCACTTTGGCCGGTGTCTTACAGCGCTAAATTACACGCGTCAATTCTTGAGTGGTCTGTCGTCGTTGATGCGATAGAACAGCATCTTTGTTCGTGTATAAAGCTGCGAATGAGCCGCCGGATGCGCTGAGCTGCCATTTCACTTTGAATATTTGATGTTAACTCATTCCCCAAATTACAACTTTGAGTTGAGGCGCACTCAATACGCGGATTTGTGGCTCCACTCAGCTCGGTTATCAGCTCACTTTCAAATTTATTTTAATTTTTCTTTCTACTATTTTGATATATAGTGTCGTTCATATTCAGCACGTGCTTGGCAGTAATTAAAATTTATATATTAACTTAAATCAAAGTTAATAATTAATTTTAATCACATATATCATGGATTCTACAATTTTTCAACCACACATTTTATTAACGTTTATCACAATCTACGAGTGGTCTAATTTTAGTCCTTATCAAACAGGTGTTTAAACTTTCGTTTGATAAATTTATAAATAATTTATTAGAAAAATAATAAATAGTGACAAAATATACAGATAATAATGAGCAACAATTACGAATTAGTGATTAAAATTAATATTTAACTTTGACTGAGAATTTATAAACTACTTATAAATAGGTTATTACTTCCTCAAAAAATAGATTACACATTTGCACTATATATATATATCATTGAACTGGATAAAATAATGCTTTAATGTGATTTTCTTGCTTCATTAGCATACTCATAAACAAAGTGACGTACAAGTTACAACACAATTATCCCCAGTTTGTCATTCATTATTTCACATCTTCCCACATTATTTTTTTATAGTACTCATTTTTAATCACACATTTTTTATTAAAATAATATTACATTCAAATTTAAAAAAATTTCTTCTTTTTTAACCATTCGTTCTCCATCAATTTACTATTTCATAATATGTTTTTCAAAATTAAAGGTCTCAAATACACCCTTAATTTGTACTTGTAAATATTTGGGAAATGCCACTTGACCCTCAAAGATGACACCTCCGATGACCGCGCCCTCACTTGGAATGTTCAAGTTCCGTGCGAATAAAATAACCTCCACCCCATGTATGTATGCCATCATCATCGCGATCATCCACTCAGGTCATGTAACATTACTCTAAATATTTTTATATCCTTTCTAACATTGGGGCTCCACCACACACGTGCATCTGTGCATTTATTAGTCTACATTGAGTTGATTAAATTTTCTCAAACCTAGACATCTATAGGAGAATTTTTCGTATATCCATCTAACTCCCACCTACTGAATTCAAAAAGCTTATCCATTTATCAACAAATTTTCAATCTACACTCAACCGCACACATTCTACTCTAACTACTTCGAGCGTATCTAATGGTGGTTTAAAATTAAGTGTAGATTGATCTCTTCAAAACTACTTTTGCATTCACATTGAAATCACGAAAATTTAAATTCAAATTCTACTCCAAATTGAAGATCTAAAAAAGTTGCTTGCGTGTTGGTAGCTTTTTGCCTCTTATGAATTCCACATATTATTAATTTAAAAAAGCTATAAATTTTACACTTTTTTTTATATATTACATTTTGTGTAGAAAAATTCACTTTGTATTTCCTTTTCATCCCTCCATTGAAAAGATTTTCATTCACTTTTTGCAAATTTAAATCATAATTTAGATCTAATTTAGAGCACAATTGCAGACGCTTTTAGTTGAGGTATAGCATATAAAATTTTTAACTAACTTAAAAGGTAAAATTTCTATCTCTATTAGAAATTTAGACGTAAGAGGTGTAGCTCGTCTAGATTGACCCCGATATGCAATTTTATGTGAGCTATGTCAGGTCAATGCCCACGTAAGGGGTGCATTTTGCAGCAAAGAGTCCAATACATATTTAGGGGGCGTTTGTTTCTCATTTTTGTAAAAATGAAAATGAAAAATAAAGTAGTTATAGGTCCCACATAAGAGATAGAAATTCAAATTTGGTGGTTTGATGTATTGAATAATGATCATATTTTTCATTTTATGAAAAAAGAATGGGAAACAAACAGGGGCTTAGCACATTTTGGTAGCGACTTTTCGAAAAAAAAAAATTTATAAGTATATTTTCCACCACAAATTTATTATTATTATTTTTTATTTTTTTAAAAACAATTTTGCACGTGAACTCATAAATTTTTTCAACTTTTTAATCACACTTTCTCTAGAAAAAAAAATTCACTTTTTGTAAAACTTTCTCGAAATTTTTACATAAAATTGGCTCTTAATCTTAATTAATATTTTTCCCCTAAAGAAAGTCAGTGTAACAATCTTTTAAAGAAACTGACCTGTACAAATAACTTAATTGGTGTTTGACACGCTTTTGGAATTTAAATTAACACGATACACAAAGAAAAAAATACATTCTTATTAATGTGTTTCAACTAGCTAGGAAATGAGATTCCAATAGTTTGATTCGAATAAAAGTTAATATTAGATAACTGAAATTATACACCTAAGCTATACAGTTATGCTATATACATTATACACAACGAAGCCGTGAACCGCAAGTAACAGCTAGCGTCCGATTTCTTTTAGGGAAAAAAGCGGCTAATATACTCAACACGTTTTACAGTGACGACATCCAATCAAAATGTACTCTCTACGGTTTCTTATTTTCCTTCCATAATCAATCATATCAGTTTTTTTTCCCTATAAATTCATTACCAATTCCCTACTTTTATCAGTTCCACAATATCCAATTTTTTCTAATTTTCTCTTCTTTATCATAATTTTCAGGTTATTCTTCCTTCAGCAACCTGTTTTTCCATGGCAGAAGAATTTCAAGAATCTGAAGTCATTTTTCCAGAAAATAATGAAGAAAACGGGGAATACTGCAATGCTTCAGTTCATTTGAATTCACGAGAATCAAGAAAGAGCAAGGGCAAAAGGAAAAAGTTGACTTCAGTTCCAATGAAAATCCCGGAAAATGCGTCTACATATTCATTGCTTGAGTATATGGATTCAGATTTTTTTGATGAAGATAGTAGTGATGACGGAGAAATGGTCCCACCACACGTCATCATCGGACGGCGTCTTGCCGGGAAAATACTGGCGTTTTCCGTCTGCGCCGGGATTAATGGGAAGAGACTTAAAGGAAGGAATTTGATGGAAGTCCGAAATTCAATTCTCCGGATGACAGGATTTCTTGAAACATGACTTCCGGGAAAAGCCAGGAATAAAATACAACTCAAGGAAAAAAATATAGGACAATATTTTCAGCCACCTTTTGTGGGTTTAATTTTCATCTTTTGATTGTTATAGAATCTTCAGAATTCACATAATTGATTATAGCGGAACTGAAAAGTGAAAATTCATTTTCTCAAGAGAGGAAATCAAAATCTTCAAAATTGAAACCCAGAAAATAATATTCTTAGCTTTATCAGCTTTTTACTGTACTGTTCATGTTCATGTTCATGTTTCCTTAAAAATTTCTGTCCCAGACAGTACCCAACATCCACAGTTGGTTTATTCAGTGAGATAGATTTTATTATATATATGTTTGTCATGTAAATTTATAAATATTTGATACCATGTCATCAAAACACGATGTATGTATGTATGTATATATGTATATATGTGTGTGTGTGTACATATATATAACGGAAAAGAAGAATATGCAGAGAAAAAGTCATAAAGATAAATGTATGGAATGTCTTTATTGTAATTCGTATCCTCCAGTGTAAAATGGGAAAAAAGTCTTCATTTTCCTCACCAATAAATGCATATTTTGGAATCAAAGCTAGATTGAATACAACTTAATAAATTTTTATTTTTTTTAAAGTTAAATAAATGTACGCATTATTAAAGAAGAAAATAAAGATTAATAGGTTTAACCAAGATGAATATTTCTACAATATTAATTATCTACTTGTGTTTTAGTAAAAAAATAAATAAAAATAAAAAATCAACATGTGATTGACAGTACAAAATGTAAGATAATAACAAGATTAACTTGGTGCCTAAAGTTAATTAATTTGTATGCTTCAATTACGATTAAATTAAAGTTAATTTCTTCATTTAGATCTCCAATCCTTATCGATTGTAGGGTTATACAAATTTTATATTGCATAGAGTAATTAATTTACTATCCCTCTTCCTGTTTAAATGATAAAAAAAAAATGTTAATTTGAGAGTCTATTTGGGAGTGATTTTAAGAATTGATTTTTTGACCGTTAAAAGAAAAGTGAGGTCCACCTGTGAAAGAAGAAGTCAAATATAAAGATTGGAATAGTGAAATAACAGCCAAAAAATCAATTTTTTGAGAGAAAAAATCAATTTTTTGAGAGAAAAAATCACTCCCAAATAGACTCTAAATGTGCAAATATTCTAATCTAGTGCCTTATTTCTATCGTTTGTAACTATGTCAAAATTTATGATCGTGTTATGCTAAGACATCACGCAACAAAGGAGACTAAATAAGAGTTCAATCCGTTCACATTTGAGTTTAGCCTCTTTCAAGTGAACAATAAAACAAAAAATTATGTATACTAACACATGAATTTTTTTCCTCTTCTCCTCTTTAGTCATAATTGATTTGTTTAGATTTAACGACTTTATAAAAAAAAATATTATCGATCTTGATCAATGGTCCTTTCATCGCAAGCTGCAACAATCGAATTTTGCTTTTGGATAAATACTAAGTCCCTATTTGATTTTGCTAAAAGTTAGATTTTTAGTTTTAATAAAAATTGATGAAAAAAATTTGGTTGAAAAATTGATAAAAATTATTGGTCCATTAAAAATTTTATTAAAATTAATTTTTAACTTTGATTTAAATTTTTATCAAATTTCTTATCTAAACCGAACAGGAGCTAAGAACTTATTTAATATTTAAAATTGAGACATAGGTTAAATATGTTAAGTGATTAAGATTTTTTTTTCTTTAATATTGTTTAACAGTCCAACACACATCCGAATAGAGGTATTTAAGAAAATTTATTCATTATAGATAGCAATGAAGCAGGATGAAGATTGAAATATCCTCATTTCTTGTTACTTCTACTATATTATTTGCCTATTTATTTTTATATTTTAAAAATTATTTAAATTTTGAAATAAAAATAAAATGGAAATAAAAATTGCGCTAGTTCTGGACGGGAACATGGTTCCTTTTCCCCTTAGTCCCTATTTCTCGAAAGTTCGTGTTTCTCGTAACTATTCCATCCTGTCTCGTCCCAATTTTCTTATAGAATAGAACAAAGCGAAAAAGGTAATTGGCACAAAACGTCCCTACCTTTCAAGTTTATTGTGGAAAACCTCCAAACCTTTCATTTTTTTGACATTTTTGCCCCTACCTTTTACATTTCTTTGGCAGAAGGTCCTTTTCATTTGTTTTTGACGATTTTACCCTCTATTCAAATAAAATAAAAATGAAAAGAAAAGAAAAAAATAAAGAACTAATTGCAATAATAGTCTCAAAATTTCAAAAAAAATTACAAATCGTTCACAATTTATTGTGAACTAAAAATTTTTAAAATTTCCCAAAAAAAAAAAAGGAAATTTGAATGTACAGAGAAATAATCAAGAAATAAAGAAATTTTTGAACCATAACCAATGAAACTGGAAATTTTCAAAAATGGGTAAGCATAAATCTCAATTTTTATTTTGTGAAGAGTAGATGGAAGGTTTGAGGCAAAAATCACTTAATCTTCAAATTTTTTCATTTCCATTGGTTATGATTAAAAAATTTCTCCATTTCTTGATTATTTCCATGTACATTCAAATTTCCTCATGACAGATTTATATATTTTTTAAAAATCTGGGACTATGATTGTAATTAATTCTTTATTTTTTCTTTTTGTTTCATTTCAATGGAATGTAAAATCATCAAAATGACCTTCTGTACAAAGAAATGTGGAAGGTATGGGCAAAAATATCAAAAAATGAAAGGTATGGATATTTTCAACAATAAACTCGAAAGATAGGAACGTTTTGTGTCAGCAAAAATAAATGGATGAGAACTTTTTTTATCTCTATATAAATAATCAATATAACATTATTATCCTCAATTAACTTAAAAATAAAACAGTTGACAACGTGGCCACGTGTGTCTCACGATTCTAAGACAAGCTTAAGGTCACGTGCACGATACCAACCAACCTACAATTAAAAGAAAAAGTCCTGTCCATTTCACAAGCCCAACTTGTCTAATGTGGATGAAATTAAAGCCATAAATTTCTGTAGACATTAAGCTTTCATTAATTTATTTCAATTCCTGAAATATAATAATTAAGAATAATGCTATTTGCAATCGTTCATTATCGCAATCGTCCTACGTAATATACATGTAACAGTTAGTGATTTAATGCATAAAATAATAAAAAACTACCACATGATGTCATATAGGGCGACTACGACAATAAGAGATTGCAAATAGCATTTCTCAGCACCAAAATATTAGTGTTTAAACTTTAAAGGATATTAATATATACCCCAAGTTTGAAAAATGAATTCCAGCCTTAAATTAAATGGGTTTTCTTTGATTAGCTTTGCTGACTTAATTAAGTCTAATGTTTAAGGTAGAAGGAAATAATTGATCAAGTGTACGTATGGATCCAAATGTGTGGTTGTAGGGGGGTGAAAATGAGATTATCCAAAACATTATTTAAATAATTTGAGGAGCAATCTAGATTATTTGCAAATTAATGACTTTTAGGAATTTCAAGTAGAAATAAATATAAAATAGGGAAATTATCCAATTTTTTATTAAAAGTAAAACTTTATGATACAGGAAATATAAATAAATGTTGCGCAATTTATTCAAGTACTTTAAATTAGAAAATTTACTGTTCTCTTTCCACAAGGTATTTTAAATATTTTTGTCACAATTGTAATCCATAGTTTCTTCGTGGAAATTTGAAGATATTTATGTTATTTGCATAATTCATGTATAGGAAGTTCGACTTCTTTATTTATGTATATATGTCTCAAATTTAGTATTCAATTCCTAAAAACAATGGATGTTGCCTTTCCTTGGTTTAATAAAAATGATAACGTGTCTATACAAATGCAATTCCAATAATTTGAGTTCCAAAACAATATACTTTAATAGATCAACTCATGGTTTTTAGAATTCTGGTATTAAAAGTCGCTATCACCATAAAGCATTTTAACACTTCGACAGATAGCCAATAGAATTTTGCGTACGGATCAAGAGTTTGCCCATTGTTTGCTTGGAGGGTCTATTACTATATTAGCAATTAATAATAAGGCTGGCAAATTTCCCGAATCGAATCGATCGAATCGAACTCGAACCAAACTGAATCAAACTCGACGATTCTTGTCAAATTAAATACCCGAACGGATATCTGAATTGAGAACCGATGGGTACGGTTCGGTTCTCGGTTCTAGACTAAGAATCAAAAAATCGAATATGAACTGAATCTTTCTATTTTTTTTATATTGAATAAATCATATTATTTTAATTTTAATTTTTTCTAAACAAATTAACAATTTATAAATCCAAATTTTTGGCCCAATAATTTGTTTCATTTCTAATTTTTTTAATTTTTGGCCCAATTACCCATTTTATTGTTTCATTTATTAGCCCAACAAGATTCAATCCACTAAATAACCCTAAACACCTACACTAAAGTGCATAACGCTGTTTCAACTCTCGCACTCACTATCGCCGCTTCGCTGACATTCCAAAACCTATACAATCATCGGCCGACGTTATGACCTTTGATCAAAGCTATGACCTCCGCCAACCGAAACTTTGACCGTAGCGATCATTTGAACAAGGTAGTCTACTAGTCTCCGACATTCCAAAATCATTGAATATGTCATTAGTTTTATTTATATAATGTTATTATAAATGTTAAAAAATTTAATTATAGTACAGAACCGAACGGTTCCATCTTTATTTTTGGACCCGACGGTTCCATTTACTAGATACCCGAAAATTTCGGTTCGATTCGATTCTCTTTAGAACGAACCAAACCGATCCATGCCCACCTCTAATTAATACAATTTAATTTAGGGAAACTTGTAGCAGCGGTCCCTAACCTTTTCATTTAATTGCAGAGTTTACCTGAAATTGTCCAAAATATCGTTAGTTGATCGGGAAAATTCCATGAACTATCCGCTACCGCAATGATTTTATTGAAAGTTGATATCTTTTTTAATGGTGTATTTGAACAGTTTTATTGGATGTTGATTCCTTAATTTTTTCAGTCAACTGACCATCTTTTGGACGATTGCCGTCTAAATAGACCTCAAGTGTATATTTATGAAAGGTTAAGAACTTTCGCTGGTACAAAATGAAAATTAAGGTAAAGTCTGCAAAAAATGAAAAAGTTAGAAACCGCTTCTGCAATTTTCCATTTAATTTATGTATTCCAACCACGTATTTGTTTATCCACTACATATATGTCCTATCCTATAATACTTCGATTATAAAATTTTATAGTTGGATTGAAGTTCTTCATCAAAAAATTAGATGACGTTTCATGATTTGGAATCCTGCTTAATCATGGATTTTGACGAGCTTTTTACCATAATTTAACAACTATGGTGAAAA